CTTCGAATCTTTGGCGTCTTTTACGAGCTGTCTTGACTGCAGTTTCTTGCCGTCATTTCTTTTCTGATCATTCGAGTTGTCTCTTTTCCGTAGCCACTAGTGTATTCAGCTTTAATGGTGCTTTGATCCTTTACTCCATACCTAATATCTTCTGGCTCATAATCACCGAGTTATTTCAGTTATTGGTTTGGATGTTCAGTTATTGGTTGAAAAATGTCATTCTTCCTGTTGGTTTTTTACCATTACTGGTATACCAGCTTGTGCCAAATTAGGATCTCTTTTAGTTTTGACCTTAGAAGCTTACTTTATGTAGCCTTGATACTTTTCAGATGTTGTTCGTCTTCATATCTTCATACAGTATGAGTTACATGAGATTTCTAGATCCAGTTTTGATCAGAAGAATTTTGTGTTTCAAACACAGGTAACTTCTTAAGGTTAGACCTGGGTACAGCATTGTTATTGCTTCTTGCTTCTTTGACTATTTAGATACGACTATGCGATACATTGCCGTTCATTGCTGTTCAGACAATGACTTAGTTGAACTTTTCCAAACAGGATAACATTGTGGTTTTTGTTCGTATCTAATTTTATAATTTATATTTTGCCTTGGTAGTATTCCATGCGGATATTTATTTGCTAGTCTGATCACAGTTATAACAACTTCATTTGCTTCAATTATCGATGTTGTCCATTCCTGTGATTTCAGCACACTTGCTACTGCGGCTTATAATTGAACTTCATTATCTATTGGCCTAATTATTATTTTGTTTCATGTTTATAGTAACCCTAACTTATTTTTTACATAATTACTGAAATATAATCCGAAGTTTCTCTGAGATGTTTCCCTTAACATATTCATAAAGTTCCATTTTCTGATTATATCTGAGTTTGATGTTGTTCTTGTTTTGTCAAGTGCGGTTCAAATCAAGTGCGTATCAAAACTTTTCCATTTCAGATCTGCAGTAATGCAAAAAAATTTTTTCTAAGCTTGAGTGCTTGGACCAAGCTTTTAGGAAGTCCAATCCCTACTTTCAGACAAGAAAGACATTAATTTTATTTTTAATTAGTAAGAATATAGTAGCAACAGATATGTGGAAGAAATCAGAAACAGGATATATTGCATATTTCCAACTTGAAATGACCTAGCCGAAGAACATGCAGACCAAACCCAAACCTTGAAAATACTTGATAGTGCACATGATTAATTATTTTTAAAGGTCGGCTGAAATTCAGTTAAAAAACTAAATACCTACATTTTGTTTATACCGAAATAATGTATAAACCGTGTTGCACAAGTAAGCAGCAACAAAGTACAAGAATATGTAATGACAATAATTATAAAATGGCAAAGAGCTTCAAGGTATAATACATGCAAAGTAATACAGGCATTGTAGAACGCAGTAGTTTGCCTTGCCCACATCGGAATTCTTCGGCAGTTCTTCGATGGCTGGGTTAAATGTTTTAATGCATTGGGCATTTTCTAATATAAAAGTTCATAATTAAATTGATTAAAAATAGCAGGAACCATTATAGAAGGCACTCCACTCTCAAATTTCACACTCTAACTATTTCACATCAAAATTAATTTAAATTATTATCTTATCTTAAATAATCCAGTATAATTTCATATTCAGTGACAAGTTAAAGCAGCCTTTAAAATTGAACAGTAGTAAAACCGGTAAATTCAAGTTCAACAAATGTATTTAGGTTAATTTCAATAAGTACGACATGATTACACCAGGCAAAGAAATTCCAGTTGTTTAGTAAATTAAAGTTTTCAAAAGGGAACGTCTTATGCAAAATATTTGAAGAACAAGCAAATTGTTACATGATCCTTGAGTAATAGTGTCGATATATGAATTTAAATTACCTTGATGTAGACGATTCTGTGCATTTACTTTCTACGGAAATTGATTTGATATGCCGAATGAATCTTGAAAGGTAAGCGAGGTCAAATGAATTGGAAATTACATTCAGTTTAAAGCTATTGTAAGTCTAGCAGAATTTTGACGGATCTAATAAAACGGCATATAGAAAAAGCAAAGCAGAACATTTGTTAGTCTCTCAAAGCGTTCAACTATCGAACATCCTAAAGATCAGAATGTTGCCTTATTTCTGACGTACTCCATATTTCTACTAAATTATTTTTAATTTCAAATTTGTATCAATAAAAAAATATTTTATCAATCCTATCCGATCATCATTGATGAAATTATTAATCAACTAAAAGGCAAAAAGCTTATTTTACTGTTTGATCACACCTCTATAAAAATATTTAGAGTATATTTAACATCGAGTAAATTGCAAAAAAATCCATTTCAAATCTGCCATGACTTTCGATTCACGAGATGTTTTCAAATCTACACAGGAGAGAGGAACGAATTGAAAGAATCAATAGCAAAATTTCGTACAATTTTACATACGCTGGCGAAAAGTGAACTTTCACTAACACGCTTAATCTGATACACAACAAATCCTAGAGATGGTTAGCACACCTATAGAAACCGAAGGATCGTATTAGTATTCCGTTAACAAATTAACTAAATGTAAGCTATTCGCGATTTCAAAATTCCACACGCCCACTGGCGGCCAAATTATAAACTACAGTTAACGAGTAACAATTAAAATTTGGTAATGTGATTGTGATTTGTTTTATTCGATGTTTCGATGTTATTCGATTTTCGTATTGGATTTGTTTACGTTTCGCAGCTCGCCGTTGGCAGTTGAATGTGCGAATAAAAATTCAGCACAGTAGAACAGATTATTTTTCATGTTCAAACATCAAGGTAGAATCAAAAAATTGGATTTAAAAAATACTTTAGACTCAACAAAAAACAGTAAAAGAAAATATTCTAAATATCAATTCAATAATACAAAATAATCTATTCTTATCACAGTTAAAGACAGGGTGATTCAAGATTGGCGTTATTCCTTTTAAGAGGTTATACGAGGCGCCCTTGGAAACTGCGAGAAAAATGTTTAGATCTAGAAGATATAGACAGTTGAAAATCGAGATTCAACTTTGGTATTAAGTATTATTTTGAAATGGTCCCATCTTTGATTGGAATACTTAAAAGCATTAAGAAAAATCGATTTTTGCTTAAAATTATGAACATTTTCGATATCAAAAAACTACTCGTCTACAATTTTTTGATGCATGTGCAAAGCGGAAACGATGGTTTTTGTCATTAACAGTAGTTACAGGTAGAGAGAAATTTCGAGATTTTTGTGTTGAAAATATTGAAGAATTGTAAGTTTTCTCTCCCGTCATATGTATTCTGGAAGAGCCAAATTTTTCAAATTTTCCGCTATTGTACAGCGTGACTTGGAATTTTGGTGACGTAAAGCAAAAATTAATTTTCCGAAAACTGTAATCAAATTTAGAAAAAAATACATTAAATCTGGAAAAAATCTTCTTTCAACAAACAGATAAATTAATTAAGATAATGTGAAACTTTGAACATTTTTTTGCATCTTAATTTTTTTCTTGCTTGGAAACATCCAATATTTTTGCGAAATGCTTCTTTATATTTTAATAGCCAGTATGTCCGCTCTGAAGACAGATGTAGATACTAAACTAAAAACCTTACATTTCGGGATGGATACACATTTATACGACATTACTTAATATKATTGCTTCTAGGTAATAATAATGGCAATTTTYGACAAAAAAATTATATAAGCAGAGGAAACATGCTTTGCCATTCCATTGAAAACCAGAAATTAGAATTTACTCTATCATGTGGTRAAATATACAAAATCATATGAAGTCCCGGGAWAAAAACCATACATGTCCAGTTTTTCTCCAAATTCAATCAGCCCCYCTATTAGAGCAAAAAAGACAAACCACCTTCAGTGTCCCCSATGATTTCTTAGAAAAGGTWTGCCTTACTGGGAAAAATAATTYATGTGCGAGCGGCAAGTGGAAAGAAGTACTCATGTCCATTATTCCAATATTCTCCATATTGCAAAAGGAAATTGGAAAAGATCTCTGAAAGAGAACAAAAAGMCCAACTCATTCAAGAGCTTAAAACAAAATGACGGAGACAGAACATCACTTAAGGAAAAGCTGAAAGAGAACAAAAAGACCAACTCATTCAAGAGCTTAAAACAAAATGACGGGACAGAACATCACTTAAGGAAAAAAATTTATTCTTTAAAGAAGAAATACAGAAAAGTCGCAACGAAGGWAGAAAACTCTGAAGCAGTAGTAATGAACCATGAATGAAGCAGACAAAATGAGCAACTATGGTTTTTATGCGTTCACAGGTTCCTTARTAGCCCAGAAWACAAACAGTTCTTTGAAAACTYGCTTGAGACGGAAGTKCAAGCTAGTAACGACAGCGAGCGACGAATATGAAAGAACTRAAAATTGATTGRATAATTGAATCAAATAAGAAAATATCTTGTTTTTACAAATGAAAAACCTAAAATACTTATTTTCTTGCCTTCATTCTSAAATATTGAAATGTTATTACCATAGAGGTAAATATGCTACCAGATTATGTCGTAATGCGAATATGCTGCAAGATRATATTTTACAAATGCTTTATTAGTGAATTAAATCCAGTAACCAACTAGATTCCCTCTTTCAGATTACTATTTCCTAAATTTAGTTTATTGATGTTGTGGTTTGTTGCTGACCATGATCTTAATTGGTAAAAGATGGTAATATATTCGGGTCTGGCAGTCTGGTAGTGATCCTTTTTTGGGAGAATACATTTTCAAGTTATTGGAACGAAGATCATATTTCTTCTCAGCCATACGCCGACATCAATCTTGCTTTTATTAATTGGGTTTCAAGGGTATGTTTATTTGAATTGCTCTACTTAAAACTCACCACTTTCAGCACTCTTGAATTTCCAAATCCAAAGCGCAAAGACAAAACATTTCACAGACAGATTTATATAACACTTTACTGTAAGTAAGAACCCGTGCAAACTAGGTGTATGTTAAAATCACGTTTAGTTCCGTATTCTATATTTTTTTTCTTGTTCCAGTATTATCTGCAGTCTTGTAGCACTCGTAAGCTTTTGCTCTGCTCGAGCAGCAGAGGAGGAATACGAATATGAAGAAGAACCAGCGCCGCCTCCAAAAAGACTACCTGCTCGRCCGCTTGTATCTCGAGGAGCTCAGGCGTTAAAAAATAAAAAATCRGCTAGTACGACTACTACCACAACTGCTGCCCCACAGGTAATACAACAAATATATTGATCATGAGAAAATATACCATAAGTTCGTAAGTGGAAAATTACATTTCTCATTTTTTTCTTGAATGGAATGTACTCGTAAACGATTTAGTACTTCCATACCATTTAGCGTGCAAGCAGCATGATTCGAAACATTCCAAATTCGGTTTTGTATGTCRAATATATTTAAGMTYGCTGAAATAAMCAAGGCKAAYAATAAAGYTCTATAAATGTATCATAGGAAGAAGTGGAGGAAGCTGTTGAAGGAGATTATGCAGATGAACAGCCTGAAACTAGTTCAACTACAGAAGCACCAAAAAAGGGGATTATCAAAACAGGAATTATTAGACCGTTCAGAAGCAACGATGATCTGTTGGCCACCCTCAAAAAGCGAAGAGAAGATGCAGTTAATAGTAAGGGATCGACGATAACTAAATAGTTAGATGGGAATTTTGAAATTATTTGTTGCTCACGTCCTTGTGCTTATTTTCCACATATCCTTAGATTAGTTCACATAATAAAGACTCAAATTATGAATACTTTACTTCTACTTCCTGTAGGCTCTCAGTGTTTTTTTAACTAAAAATAACTGATAATTGAAAAAACTCACTTTCATAGATATAATCGATATAATTTTAGCGAAAAGATGACAATAACTGTGCAAATAGACTTTTCTGGTATGCTGGTTTTAACCTTGCCCAGTACGTAACTGCTGCACAATAAAATTTTAAAACAAAATTTATAGATAAATGAAATAGTACTATAATAAACAAAAAAAAAATTAATTAAATAAATACTGTCCCAAAGTGAATCAATATTCAATTTCTTTTTACAGATAAACACTTTAAACCAGCCGTAGCCAAAGACCAAAGTGATGATGAAGCCTCTGAGCCAGTACAAAAGGAATCAAAATCAGCACCCTCATCATCGTCGACTCGCAAAAGTAAATTTAATAAATCGTCCAAAACAAGCCATGCAAATGAGGTTTCTACAGAGCAAAGTAGCAGCACCGCAGCGCCAGCTAGAACAGGAAGAGGCCGTTTTGCGGCCAGAAATTAAGCTTACAAGAAATAGCAGCCAATTTTTAACTGTCGACTTTTTTTCATTGTTGACAACTTAGAAATAGTTTTTCAAAATGATACTTGTAAAAAACGTATAGTTAAGTGGTACACTACATATGAATTTTTAAGTTTAAGTCAATGTTTGTTATAAACACGAGAACAAAAATTGCAACAGTTATTATTTTTCATAACGGACAGAAGAATGTACATATAAATTATTATTCA